GCTGGCAGCTTCACTTTCGCCAGAATTGGTTTTGCTAACGATGTTATAGCGCCACTTAAATCGGTGAAGCCATCATCTAGTGTTGCCGGGTGGCTGTTCTTTCACCTAGTGCAGCAGCAAATTATTTGGCCTTGGCGATCAGCATCGGGCCATTTACCTGAATGTTCTTCAGGTAAATGGCCACTTCTAAAAACCAGGCATAGAGTGCCTTTTTTACATTTCCTTGGGCAGAAGCGCGCACATGACAGGCTCCCGAAGCGGCATTCGCTGCTCCGCCGCCTTTGCCTTGATATCTGCTTTATTTTTCAACAAGGTACTAGTGCTCCGTGGTATCTCGAAGTTTCGCAATACAGCAACAAAAAAATAAAAGAAAACGCGAAAGGAGGAGTACGTCGGCTCCTTCGTTCCTGCTCTCCGAGCCGACGGGTACGCAGAGAAAGCATGAAGGAGAGAAAGAAAAACTGAAAAAAAAAGAAAGCCGTTCCGCAAGTTAAGGGGAGATGCGGGTCGAAAAATCGCGTTTTTTGCGAAAATTTCCACTTTTGAGATATTGTTTCTAAAATCACTTTTGATCATTCAACTATCATTTCCCCAAAGGTCATAGCTGAAATCAAACAACAAAGTGGTAAAAAGTCGATCTGCGCTAGTGAAGGTAGCTCCCGAAGTTGCGAATTCACGCATCCGACGGCTATTTTTGAAAATCCGCCACTCGGCAACATGATGACGTCCGCCATTGGGGTTTGTTCGGTGATGCAGATCAAGGCTCGTTCTAGTGTACAGGCGTCCCCCTAGTTTCGTATTTTAGTGAGGAATTTCACAAAACAGTCGTTTCTAAGTCGGTTTACAGCCAAGCTGCAGCCGCTTCGCACATCTCTACCGGTCACATGGTACGCTACCGAGGCCGCCATTGGCTACATTTGATCGGCCTCGCTCGCTGAGCGCTTGCGACGATCGACACTTGCCGTGCGTTTCTACGTTTTTCCGAGTTCACCATGGATAACTCGAAGAAGCGAGACTTCCGAGCACGAAAGTTTGCAAGCAAGAACAAGTACCGGGGGCGTCGACGTAAACCGAAGCGCAAAGCAGCGGTAGAAGAATGCGAGCCGCGGGCCACTACGCCTAATCAAGGCAGCGGGGATACGGCGGCTTGCGGGAACTTTGACGAAATCGACGCCGCAATCAAGTTCATCAGCGCATCAGAAAAAAAGATTGAACAGTTTGAAAGCGAGAGAACAAAGAGTGGTGTTTGTGGCTCTGTGAGCGGAGTATTTTGTGACATCGGCGCACTGACATCGATAGTAAGCCCTGCTGTTTGTCCACCATGCCACATGGCTGGACTGGTCGTTCGCGACACCGCTAGTAAACGTAGGGGCCTCTATTCGTTCTTCGAGCTGCACTGTGATAACAGTGAGTGTCCTGAGTCAGTGGTTTCTGCCGCGCATAGTTCGCGGCGTGTTCTGCCGGAAAGACAGCCCACCGATGCCGGTGATGACTGGAGCTACCGAAGCGGCAGCTCGCGCGACAGCTTCGCTGTCAATGTGAAGGTAGTTGTGGCTGCGCGTGCAATAGGCATCGGGCATGAACAGCTGTCGCGTTTTTGCGCTATTCTTGGACTGCCAATACCTATGCATCATAAGACTTTTATTGCAATCGGCAAAAAAGTTCATGCTGCAGCTACCAAAGCTGTGCAAGAAAACCTGGCAGAAGCGCGGATGATAACTAAAGAGAAAGTGGATGGGGGTGATGTTGCTGTCATGTATGATGGCACATGGCAAAAAAGAGGGCACAAGAGCCACAACGGCATCGGCACTGCTGTGTCTGTGGACACTGGTTTGTGCCTAGATTTTGAAGTGCTATCGAATTACTGCCTTGCCTGTAGCTGGCACCAGGACTTGGGTGATGAGGAAGAAATATGGCAAGCATTCCACACACCTGTCTGCGAAAAAAATACAGAGTGCTCCTCTCATGCCATGGAGACTGAGGCAGCTTTGCGCATATGGGGCAGGACATCCTCATACACAACACCATTGCGCTTCACCAAGTTCCTCAGTGATGGGGACAGCAAAGCTTATACCGCTGTCGCTGAGGCCAAGGTATATGGTGAAGTTGTTGTGGACAAGGAGGAGTGCACAAACCATGTGGCCAAGCGTCTAGGCACTGCACTTCGGAAACTGCCAACACGACTTACACGAGGGGAAAAGCTGACAGATGGCACAATTAAGAAGCCGCAGAACTATTACCGTATTGCTATCACAAACAACAGAGGTGATATTCTGAAAATGCATCGTGCCATCTGGGCCTCATATTTCCATTCATCATCGAGCAACACAGCAGGCAGCCACCGATAATGTCCAGAAGGGGCGACTTCCTGGTGCAAGCATAGGCGAGCCGAAGTGCTTGGGGAGGCCCCACCCGACCACACACCAATCTTGACCAAGGCTCAAGGATTGGCTGTGCTTCCCATTTACAAACGGCTCACAGATGAAAAGTTGCTGGTGCGTTGTATCCAAGGGAAGACCCAAAACGCTGCAGAATCTTTGAACAGCAAAATCTGGTTGTTGTGTCCGGAGACTAAGTTTGCCTCCCGGAGAACAGTGGAAACTGCAGCTGCTATGGCCGTGCTGTGGTTCAATAAAGGACATTCAAGCTTTGAACACGGGCTAGAGGAGCTTGGTGTAGTCCCACCAGATCAACTGATCACCCTGGGCCAATCCCGCGACCAGAGGAGAATCGAAAGATTGTCTGCGTGTGAAACAGCCGAGGCAAGGGCTCATCGGCAGAACGTGGCAAAGAAAGCGCGCCTTGATGACTCCCTTCTCAAGCGGCGAGAAGGATACACATATGGAGCAGGACAATTTTAGGTGCTCTAGCTGTGTCCCTTCTATGATATCACCAAGTTTTGTGCAAATCGCACTGTGTAATCATGAGTAAAAATATTTACAACTTTCAAATGCATTTTTCTCGATTTCCATTTTGAGGTAATTCTCTCATCTTGTGCACAATCTTTTTTAGGCATAAAATAGTCCTATCTTGATGAAATTTTGCACAGAGCTTAATCAGCCTCTCTAGAATACAAGTATCTACTTTAGGTTGCATTATACATCACAGATTTTTTGTTACACAACTTGATACACTGATAGAGAGATGTAAAATATGCATTTAGTACTTTTAATTTAAAAAAAAAAATGTAGCAAATAAATTTTCTATTTGAGGTACTTTTCTGTATTGTACTGCTCAAGTGCAGCATAATGAGCCATTTTGCAATTCTGTGTGAAAATTTTTAGTAAGCTTTATTATGTGCACAAAAAACCCTATATTTTGATATCAAAGTTGTAGTAACTCTGGAACTACTATAGCTATCAAAAAAAATAATTGCAGTTATGAAATCAGCACTGCAAGCTTTACTAACACCTAAAATTTCAAGGAGCTGGGTTATGAAATAAAAAAAAAAAACCTTTTTCGAGTAGCATCTCCCCTTTGTAGTCCAAGCCCTCTCGTCCTTACCCTTTTTCGAGCGTTTCGGGTTTTGGCAAAGGCGTGATGCTGCGTGAAGGTCGCCGGGCGCTGCGAGTGTCAAAGCACGCCTTCCCATTCTCGCACGGAGCCGCGCTGCCGCAGAGATTGCAGGGCGTGGTGAGTGCCGAAGCACACCTTCCAGCTCGCGCGATGTTCGATATATCTGAAGGTGGGTAAAAATATCGTTCGATGTAATTGTGCGAATTTCTATACCTTTAAAAGGAATTTCAAGGAGATAACTTACAAGTTCGATATATCCAAAAATTCGATATATGTGGGTTCGATATAACCCTGTTCGACTATATTGCCACCCAAAGTTTTTCAATTACTTGGGCTGGTGCTGACTGCCGCTTTATATTATTTGCTTGGACTTACATTGCAAAATACGGTACAGCAGAAATATTTTGAAGTGGGATTTCAAAATAACCGAGTTGTAATTAAGGACGTTTTTACTGTATTCTTTTTTTACAAAGCCCAGAATTACTTTTTTCCAGCTTGGGCAAGGACCATGCTGTCTTTAGTGTCGTGGGACAAGCAGAGATGTATTTTTTTTCTTATCTGAGGAGAACATTTGCAAGGTCCTCATTACTAGTCTTGTCAACAATTGTTTGAAAGATAGCTGAGTTCATTGTGCTTACTACTACTGCCTCTACGTATTCTTGTGCTTGTTGTTTCACACACAGTGATAACACGTAGTGAGAAAGGGGTGGCGACAAAGGTGTTGGGGGGAACATGAGAGTTTGATTTCCGCGCTAGTAACCATGCTTTGAGACGAGATCGCGCTTTCACCTTTGACCACCAACAGGTGTACTGACAAGTTTGGAAGTCATTTTTCAAGATAGTTGCGGCAGCTGTTCTCCCGCCCGCAAACCGAAACTTCGTTTCACGTGTGCTCGTGAGTGTGATCTTATCTATGCCTGCTCGAAATGCATACGCTAGGCCTAAAGAATGCTAGCCGATTAGTCTGGGTAGTGGTCATGGACTATCGAAACTGTGACTTGGTGTCGAGTCACCAGAATATTTTTCAGTTGTCGCTGATAGAAGGGTGAGTTACATATTTTGGGAAAAAGATGTTGTTTATGTTCAGTACTTGTGTGGTTGTTCACGGTCGCCACCATTTTCTACATCGCGCACTTGCATGAAAATTTAAAAGTGTGCAGAAATTTCAATTGCTGTTTGATGTGAAATGGCAGTGAAGTCCAGAAAAATGAGGAGGTCGAGAAAGTTGGTCGGCGTCTTTCCATTGCAGCACATTCTTTTTTTTTTTTTCAGGTTCGTTTATGCAAACATACATCCCAGTCACATGCCTCGATAGATTCGCGCAGCTTTCTCTTAGTCATATTTTGCACATCTGCAGCCTTTCGGCAATCTTGTTTTGTTTAAATTGCAGTACCTTGTCGACCACGATCAATCGAGTGAATATAACACTTGAGCTTTCTCGCACTTTCTGCACTTGTTTGTGTTTATACAACTTGGCATTACAGGGGCCCACCTGGAGGTGGTGGTGGTTTCAACAGGGGGCCACCTCGTGGTGGGGACAGGCGGCCTGCTGACAGTGAGGAGTTTCGGGAGCCTACAGCAGGTCAGCAGTCTTTAGTCACACTTCAGTCACCCTGTTCCCAAAGTGTTCTAGCATTGATAGTTCTGTTATCAGAAAAGGGTAGTCATTTCTCAGGAATTATGCTACCATAGCAGAAAATGAACCGTGTTAAATGCTTGTGAAATTTGCTTAATAGCTTGTAATTACACAGTGCTTGAAAATCGGCATTCGCACTGTCAAGGTGTCTTTCACTTTTTTGGGCAATAAGTTTCTCTTGCAAAGGTTCCACACCACAAAAAAAAAACATGCAGGCAAACTGTGTACGTGCTCTTTATTGTGGTTGCAAGGCATTCACTGCTGTTGTATGAAGCCATATTTTTTCTTTCTTTCAAACGCAGAGGAGCGGTCTCAACGGCCACGGCTCAAGCTGCTTCCGCGCACAGTCCGTGCACCAGTGAACGACCTCGCCGACACGTCGAATCGCTCAGCCATCTTTGGCGGGGCCAAGCCTCGTGATGAGAAGGTGTACGAGAAGGGCCGCAAAACCTCCGAAGGTGATGACTCCTCTTCACATTCAGACTCCCTGCCTGCCTTCCGCCCGTCGGGACCTCCTTCGGCTGCGGCCTCCCGGCGGGGAGGACACTGAGTTTCTTGAGCTGCCGCCGCCGCTGCCACCGCAACCACGTGGCCCTCCTCGCTCGGCCCCCTGTTTTTTCTTCCTTTCCTTTCTCTCGCTGCTGGCTTTGTTTTTCTGGGGCGGCGGCTGCTGCCTCCGTGGGACTGTGTGCAAGGGACTTCACCCACCTTTCTTTCTTGGACTTATCCACTGTCTCCACTGGCACCGAAAGAGCTTGTGGTGTGTTACATTAGGAATTATTACATTCGGTGGAGCAGTCTGTCTACTTTTCCTTTTTCTAGGCTGTGTGCTTTCTCTCGCTGTTTGTACTTTTTTCTGTCTGCCTACGTTGGGTGTGTTCTGTGTGCACGATTCTGTCCGGCAGTGTCACTTGTGGGGTGGGAGCTGGCATTAATTCTTGCTGCATTCATTAGTACCCTTATTACGCGTGGTGTGACCATTGTGTGCGTGTACAGGAATCGCAAGACTGGAAGAAAAAATTAATCAACCTGCATGTGTGCTAAGTGCACGAGGAAAGTGCTTTAATGGGCTCTTCAAGGTTGGGCATTGTAAGACATGTGCTGGCCATGGCCGTAGCCTGGATTCTTTGAAATGGTGCCAACCATCTACTGTGTGCCACTAAATTAAATGTTTTCACTTTGCAGTATGCTGGGCTCTGAAATGACGAGGCACAGTGAAGCACTGTGCTAAGTGAATTAGAAAGTTGATGCAACTGTAAGAGCTACACCTCCAATATTCCAAAAGCGTGCTTGACGCTACAGATCATTTTGAGGGCAGACTTGCAATGGTGTGTGGCATGGAGTGTACATAGTGAACCAGTTTTCTGTGACCTATTTCAAGAGCTTCAAGCATCGCAAAGAGGTAATCTTGTGCACATAACTAGGCGAGCATTTCCTCTTGGATGTCATGGCTTGGGTCGCTTTTCTAGATAGGTTAATTAATAACTTGAAAGGATATTGGTTTTTCTGCATTTTTGAGTGCGGTGTTGTACGCAAGAGTCCACTGCTTGCAATGGGGTGTGAGTGATGTGCGTGAATATGAGGGCATTTGCATGAACTTGGATACACATTGAAGAAATAAATTCAATCTTCCTTTTAAATAAATCCAATCTTCCTTTTCACCACATCTCTTTCTCTCTTCGCGACACCCCTCGGTATGAGTGTGCATTCGTCACTCACCACTGCCACATAAAAAAGCTGCAGCCACGTTTGAGTGGTGAATTATTTAGAATAAATAGATGTACAAAGCACTATACTTAACAGTTTTAGATAAAAAATAGATGCTCAGAACACTATACTTAACAGACAGCCACGATTGAGCTGTACTGTTGACCTGGTGTATACAGTCGCCGACGAATTTTTTGGACTCCATCGGACTTGTTGAATATTTTGGACTTCACAAATGCACCGTCAAGGTTCCCATCGCACTAATGCATTTCTGCAAACGATATTTCGGACAGGTTTAGGTTCCAAAGTTTGATTTTCGGACTAAATCATCTGGTTTTAGCAATACCGCTTGATCAATGCTCGATTTTGAGAGCCGCCATGTTGGATTTTTTGTTGGCTTGGTCCAGTTTAACTTGCAGTGGCTAGTTGCGCGGCCTCCAAGATTGGAAGCCCGCACCATCTTTAAGGGGGATAGAATAGGGAGGTGTGATGACCGGCCTCCAAAGGCTGGCCCAAAAGCGCGTTCCTGACCCGCAACGGCGTTGTCAGCAGGGGCGCCGTGCTTTTCTCACGTTGCTGCTTGCCTCTGGGCAGGCAAGGAATTAGACTGTGCTCAATTTTAACGCTGGAGCTTTTTCGATGCTGATGGGCTTATTTGTTTAGTGTTGTATACGTCGAGAAACTATAAAAAGCGTGTCATGTGAAAAGCAGTTTAGAGGAATCGCTCCAGCAGACTGGCTGGTTGGAACAACCCTGCATGTGTCGCTCTCAAATTAGTTATAGTGTTTGGATTGTTATAGTTATTCAAAGAGTGGAAGAAATGCAGTAGAAGCATGTATGAAAATAGGAGACTGGTGGTTTGATACAAGTTTATTGGAAACAGTACATGAAAACATTACATAACACAGGGCTTCGCCTTCTTGGTTTTTTTCTGCATAGCATGCTGGTTTAGTCCTCTAAGCAGAAAACGAGCATGAATGCTTTAGTCTGGCTCTTTCCATTGCAACTCTGCTGCTCATGAGGCGTGTCTCCTACCAAGCCGTCAAACACACCAATGTGTTAAATTAAAGAAACCTCCACTTTTTTAATGGCTTAAACATGTACGAATTACATCATACCTTGAGTCAAAATGCCTTTTGCAAACTGCAGAATTCTCTAGCAGTGGCTTGTCGGCCCTTTGTATGACACGTGCCTAGTTTTATAAATCATCCTTGCGGGCAGGTGCATAAAACAGGGGTATTTTCAATTTGGCTTGCACTGCCTGCACTAGTTCTAAAAAGTGTCACAGCAGTGCTGTGGGCGTGCAGCTGCGACACTAAAGCGCAGCGACTACTGCCATAACAAAGGTGCAAGTGCAGGAAGAGTTCTTTGTGTGTATCGCGGTGTTGTTTACCATCGATACATGCGACATGTATCGATGGCATTGTTTACCAAAACATTGCCGTGATGGCTGTCTTCGTGTCATATAAAAAAAAAACTGTTTGACAGGTTGATTCCGACAACGATGATCTGTGCAGTAGCAGAGGAGGTGTTGACGGGGCTTGTGTTTTAATTGATCGCCTGCTCGTTGTACGCGAAAATGTCAGCCATGTTCCCGGGTACAGGAACGCTGTCGCATGGTTTCATGAGTATGGGATTTCAAGAGACTGTTCATGTAAACTCAGAACGACGATTTAGCGGTTTAGTATTCAATCCCGTACTTTCGGCCTTCTATTTAAGTGCGTGTAAGGCCATAGAGCAAGCAAAAGGGAAAAATTCCGGTTATTTTTTTACCCACAGCAGCACTTTTCACATTATATCATTATAAGACATGTACGCTAGCTCATTTGAATACATGTTTTAACTTAAATGTCTTTTTTGAAGGCCTCCTATTGCATTGGCTTGACTCAACTGTTTTTGCACGCACGCGATGCTGCATGTCTTTGCACGTCCTCTTGAGCAAGTGCAGGCCGGCGGAGAACTCGTGCAGCACTACGCTTGTACTGCAACAGTGCAATGCTTGCCAGTGTAAAGCTCGCGCGCAGCACCAGCAAATTGAGGAGAAAGGTGCTGCAATCATTGAACTGGTGCCGCCAATGCAGCCAAATGGAAGAGGCCTTATTTCAATGCAGGACTTGTAGCCGCCACCATATCCAAAAACACCACCTCTGCGTTTTTATTCCCCGTCGATGGTATATTTAAGAGTGGTTCAAAAATCGACGACATCCGCTGACACTATCTCCTTCAAGGAATCTGGAAGCGATAGAAAAGGAGGCCGAACTTCCCTGAAAGCGACCGCTAACGCGCTGCTCCGTATGAGACACGAGAAACGTACGCTCGCAGTGGGCACATGCCAACAGCCTGCCACTGACTGACGTGTTAAATTTTCTCCCGGCGGCGAGAACGCGCAGTGGGGCCTCGCTAGGCAGTGAGAGCGCCGCCGCGGTCATCACACCTCCCCATTCTAGCCACCCTACTATCTTCCAACTTCAGAGGCCCTGTCTGATATTTTCTGGCTAGCAAAATGGAAAAACTTTTTTTTCCATTCAGCCTTATCATCAATAATACCGCCAGCAGGTTGTTTTTATTTTCTGAGCATTTATTTTTCTGGTCATCATTGTGCACGTGGTCATGCAAGTGCCAAGTGTGTTTGAGCCATCGTGTGCGTCACACGCTCGCTGCTGTTCACAGTTGTTTAGTAGCACTCTGGGGGTGGTCACGGTGCTCGGCTACTGACCTGGAACACACGGGTTTGGTCGTGGCTGCGGAGGTAGCATTTTGTCAATGGATGCTCACGTGCTTTGCGGTGTCGGTGCAGGTAAAAGAAGCATGCATGTTCTTGCTACCGGTATCAAGTTTTCTTGACTTGACTCCATGGAGCCAACAGCTCTGCTGCCTGTGACTTTTGGCGGCAGGAATTTCCAATGCGCTTGCCAGCAATGTTAGTGTAGCCCAAATAGAACCAAATTTGCTTAACAGCATGAAGCATGGCATTATTTGAAATTTTTAAAGGAGCACTGACATCAAGTTTACTCATGTCAAGATTTTTGCGTCAATGAGTAGCTATAGACCCCCTAGTAGTGATTCGCGACCTAAAATGCATCTGAGGTACGAATGAATATCTGTAATATGATTAATATATCTGCTATTGAACGTGGTTCAAAATGGGTGGAAAGGCCACCAAATTGTAGTGCTGTCAGTCCCTCTGTCCATCGGCGCGTACGAAGTCAACCCACTAGAAACGCCACGCGATTTCTGCTTTTACCGCTCCTCGATGTGCAGGTTCTCACTGCGCAGCAGTTCCCCGACATTCTGGCATGTATTCTCACTCTGAATGATCGTACTCGCGCTGTGGAGCACACGTCAAACCAGCCGATGCGACACAATGAATCGCACGCACGCTTCAACACAGCAAGGAGAGCCATTAGTGAGAGCATGGCCGGGAGTTGGCTCCAAACAAACTCAGATCGTCGACATCATTGTTACTAGCGTATCGTCACTCAGGATAGTATTTGTGAAATGTATCACACCGAACATGTAGCACTGGTGTCGGTGTCGCAGGGCAGTCTGTTTTCTGTTTTTTCTCCTTAGCTTTTCTACGCTGTTTGACATCGAATTAAAATAACTTCCATGCAACACATGCCATTAAAATTTGGCCAAGGAGACCTATGCATACCAAGCGATCGAATGATGGGCTCATCTCGATCTTGAAACTTGATGTCAGTGCTCGTTTAAGGCTTTTATAATCTAAATAAACTTCGATTTTATGGCTTGACCATTTTTTCAGACTGTTCGATTTTTCAGACTATTTTGCGAGCCCTGTCAGGTCCAGAAAATCGGTCGGCGACTGCACACCCATCTATCTATCTGGTGTTTTTGATGCCAGAACCTCACATTTACTTGCTCGGCTTTGCTTGAACTCGCCGGTTGAGGGCAGAAAGTTGGCGTTTCAGGCAAGGCTGTTGTCCACATTTAGGGTGGCTATGGAAATTAAGAATCATTTGTGTGTGCTGTATCACGCGTTTCTGCAAGGCCATTTCCTGAGTTTATTTTAAGGCTGAGAACAGCTGTGGTTGACTTTAGCCTTTGGCATTGGGGTGCCTATCCTGATAAACTATACACTTAACAAATGGGTTACAAGATTAGCTAATATAGGAACAGGGCGTGAATAAGCCATTGAGTTATTCACTCTAAGCTGAAATTTCGCTGCAACTTTGCCATTTATTCCCGTTCTCAGACTGGTGCAAATGGATGCGTGTATTTCTACATAAGGCACTTCTAAGTGCCACTTTTGTGCACATGCTGTTCTTGAACTACTATTTAGAAATGGAAGCTTTTTTACCTTTTTTTGTCTAGTTTTGTGCACCACAGACAATGCATGAACCTGCAAACAACTGGGCAACAACTATTTATAAGAGATGTTTTCCCTGAAGACATCCTCTGCCATTGCACTGTAAAAAATTGTACAAAGTTAAAGGAGTAAGGAAAGGTGTAGATAAAGTGTTGTTTGTAATGACTATATCTGTAATCGGGGGAAAGGGTTTAAAAGGTTCACGGAATGTCGCTTGATCACCACAGTACCCAGTGTATTGTCACTTTCTTTTTTGAAGGCACACAGGCTACATTCATTGTCGGTGTGTGTTGCGAGGCGAGCCAGTGGAGATTGCAGAACTTCATGACGCATAATGTATTTTCATGCCTCTCAATTGTAAATGGCTGCACACCTTTTTTTTTATTCATGTTTTGATAGCCTTGTTTTGGTTTTTGCTCAAGTGATTTGTGCACGTTAAAAGGAGGAGGGTGTGGTGGTAGTGGTTGGAAGGGGTATTGCAGCGATCACTGGTAGCCACATCGTTTTTATGTTTTCTTGCAGGCGACGAGGACTAACCGCTGCTCCTAGAAAACAGCATGTTGTGTTTAAAGCTAAGCCTTGTCTCTCTTTTTTTTGTGTGTGGATTGAGAGTTTTGTACTCTGTGATTACAAATAAAAACAAATACAAGAAACGCTGGGACTGTTGTGTTTGAGCTGTTTTGACTTAGCTTTTTCAATGTTTCTGGATCGACCTTGCAAACATGTAGAAATATAGTTCTGAGTACAGTTGTAGCCTGTGTACTGGGCTTGTGCGAATAGCCAATTGTAGGCTCGAAGTAATTAAAAGCGAATGGTGATTTTTGTTGAATAACTTTGAATTGAATTCAATGGGTATATATCACATACTATTAAAAAGAGCATATTTTTAATGAACGGGTTAACCTGCACAACGTTAAAAAAAAGGAAACAAGACCAGTGCAAAGGCCATTTTTTCGTTCAATGAAACCAGAAAAAAGTTCGAATAGGAGCAGGATTTGATTTCCAGAGAATGCGAGTGATAAGTCTGTAATAATGTACGTTTTAAAACTTACTGTACCTCGAGAATATATGCCGATATAGCAAGCTTTTAAACTTGAACGATGAATCAATGTGAGAGTAATATTTTCATTTAACTTTGAAACGAGACTTCATGACAGTGCGAATTTTCCGTAGATAGGTGTTTTCATGGCTTAGCACTTCTTCACAGCGAATGAAACCAACTTTACAGGTAAAGTGAAGTTTTGAGGTACAGCTAGCTCGCGACCACTCTTCTGGCAGCACAGCAAAAGCCACGTGGGCAGAACTTCTGCACATGTTACTACACTGAGTAGTCTGTTTAGGTTTGACTTTGGTTTTGGTTTAACAATCGCATCTAATATGTACGGTTTTCCACGAGCATCCAAGGTTTATAATGTTTCAAAACAGTGTTTTAAAAGCTCAATCTATAGCTTTAACCGAAAGCTATGACAAACCTCGAGGCCCGCCGCGGTGGTGTAGTGGCTAAGGTACTCGGCTGCCGACCCGCAGGTCACAGGATCAAATCCCGACAGTGGCGGCTGCATTTTCGATGGAGGCGAAAATGCTGCAGGCCCCTGTGCTCACATTTAGGTGCACGTTAAAGAAGCCCAGGCGGTCGAAATTTCTGGAGCCCTCCACTACAGCGTCTCTCATAGTCACATGGTGGTTTTGAGACGTTAAACTCCGCATATAGTAAATCAATAACGACAAACCTTGAGATACTCATAAATGCACCAACGCTGGAAAAATACAAGAAATCATGTGCTCCTCTACTTATTTCATTATACCGATAATCTGGCAGCGGTTTAAGCTCGCATGCAAGGCGAGGGCTATACAGGAATGCTTGCATTTGTTTTTTTGGAAAGCAATAAAATATTCTTAATTCAAGTAACACAGGAATCAGCTTTATGGAAATGGTGATCGAGATTTATTTTTTTCGGGAATAAGAGAGCACTATCAAGCAGAAACTGCGTGATAGGAGATGCAATGAAATGGCAAGAAACCATGTCCTAAATTTGGGTGAATACAGGGTCGGCATCGTCATTTTCCTTCTTTTTGGGACGCAAGAACTTTCTGGAGACGCTCACATTATTTTGTTTGTGGGTGCGAAGGCACCGGCGAGCGGCCGATATCTTGGTCATGACTGGTGTTACGAGTGGGTATAGAGCGGGCGTCTCGCATTCGGGAGATATAAGCAGGGGAAGCGCACTCCCTACTTGGCCTAGAACGCTGTTCTTGCACAGTCAGCCGCATAACAGACATGAATGTGCCGGTTGCCCCGGCAGAGCTTCGCACTGGGGATTTTTTCTCTCGAAAACCACTGCCATCGCTAAGGGCTAAGAACCGCTCCCGCCGTAGATGCTGACGGGTACAGTGTTACAGTACGCAATCTTTAGTGTGATTGTATCAGCAATAGTAGGCAATTGAAAGATGACCATCTATTGAACGTAATTTATGGAAAGAGTCATTGCCTTTATACGTGCAATTTCCATTTGCAGTATTTAAATCAACTGGTGTTGCTGAAGACTGACAGGCTGCCAATGTCGCCTTTAGGGCGGCTATCGTATTGAGACTTGAGAGACCCGCCTGTGCGCACTTGTTATGGGAGTGACGTCATCACCCGTCATAAACAGCTCTGCTGTTAAAACCTGCATCGATAGCGATTACGTAATGCCTCAATTAGTGAAATAAGCCGGAAGGTATACGTAGCTTCGATGCAGATCATCGGGCTCGCACTGCCTTTGGCATTGTCGGGGACTTGTGTCTCTAGTCAATCGGAGTCAATCGCTTCCAAAGTTCGGCATTCTCACTCTTTTCCAGAAAGTTCGGGTTTTCGAACAAACACGTACATGCCTTCGAAGACGACATAATTTATGTTCACATGCTCTGCCGCAGCTTCGTTAAAGTGGTGAGGTCTCGCAATAAGCCAATTGAAGCTTTCACAGAGAAATATACTTTCGCGAAAGTATGCTTGCGGTGGGTAAGGCAATATATCTGGAGAACCTAGTATCGGAAACCGTTGACCTCGTACAACGACATCTACACCTACTACCGAATCCCGAGGCAAACGAGGCCAACAACCCAGGCCAAACTGGCGTCGACTTCATGACTCCATGTGTATTGCTTCCCCCACCCCACACACAGACACTGCCAACAACTTTGTGTACGCACTTATTTACCCTGTCCTTATTATAGTGCTCATTGCTCGTCGTGAGGGGGAGTATCCATCCTCGCCCATATTCTCAGAAAATGCATGAAGGACCCCACTCTCCCACTCGATCTCCTGGTCGCTTCCTGACGTAGGCACGGCCGCTACATAAAAGAAAATTGGTCCCGTGGCTGCGTGCTTCACGGCAAATGTCATCAAAAGACGAGTTTTCCGCCGGTCGTACTACACGAGTCCTGGTCTCATCCGCGTGAGATGTGGTGCTGTGTGAATTATGAACGCCATCGGGCAGTGGCGTCGGGAAGCATGGGCTTGGGCAGAAACCAGGACCACTGCCATGTGACAGCATCATATCGTCGGGAAAAAGAGATTTCGTGCATAGCGTCGCATTTTCAGCGCAGCCTAAGAACACCAGGATCTTTAGATTTACGTATTTACCTATTTATATGTAAAAAAAACATGCCACCTAATACTTACGCATTGATGTTGTGCCTCAGATATGCGTAATATTTGCTTTTTGATCGACAGCATTCACAAGTATCAATGCAGCCACCAGTTCTAGATTTCTGGGCGTTCAGCAAGCTTTTAAACTTTGGCCGGGCGGCTAAATCGTGTGACAGACAGACAGGCAGGCAGACCAAAATTTCTGCGTTCAAGTACCCCAGAAAGTCTATAGTTTTAAAAGAAAGGTGCGGTTGTCTGCGTGTCGCCAAAGTGGCGTCTCGGGCCTAGTTCATATCATGCTCGCTCTGGTGCCACTGCTTCAGTGTAGCCGTCCGTCCACAGAGAAGCGCTTCCATGCATGCATTGTTACGCATGACAGCTACTCTAATTAGACCGCGAATAACGCAATTTGTAGTAGCACATTTGTACAGGCTCAGTACTAAGCGTTATTAGAAGTTCCTGTTACCGCACTTATGTGAACAGCAAAAATATTTTGAAGGGTGGGTCTCTTACTATCCATGAATGCTGCCCGTTTGACTCACCTGAAGTGAAAAGTGCCACTGGTCCCGTTAATGGAGAAGGTAATCGTCGGGCAGATTCCAAGAGCTGACGTATCGATCCACAGAAATGCACCATGAAAGCAAGGACAATTTAAGTGTAGGTCCTTTCAGTGTACCAACAACGCTGGTTGTAGTGCAAAGACCGACACAGAGAGGCAGTGTAAAATTGCGCACTCGTCAGGTATTACAACTCACTACACCACTCGGAGGATTTTTAAAACAACTGGAACAATCTTACCGTGTTAGAAATGCAATCTCCTGCAATTTGTTTTATTTTATTTAGGAATACTGCAGGCCTTGAAAAGGCCCAGGCAGGAGGGGAAAGGTACAAACAAACAGTAAGAAGTGTGCAGGTATCAAAGAGTATATGCTGACAACAAAATGAATCTACCAATGAATAAACAAGCACTAAAAATGTGAAACAATGAAAAAGAATATACAGGATGAAAAAATCAACAATGCTAAACTATCTAATCAATGTACAAGGGTATCGGTACAAGGTTAGGTTTAAGATGTAATCGATGCGATAGAGTCGGTGTTGCTGAGTGCACTTAAGAGGTAGGCTGTTCCAGTCTGCTACAGTTCGAGGCAAAAAGGAATACTTAAATATGTTGGTTTTGGCATTGTAAGGCGTTAATGTGGTAGAGTGGTGATGTATTGTTTGGCGAACAGTGAGAGGCTTAATATAAGGTTCAAGAGAAAGAGACAACTTAATATTTTATTATACAGCAGGAACAGAAATTTAAGCCTTTGAATTTTTCTTAGATGTAAGGACTGAATGTTGTGTTGGGCCGTGAAGATACTTGGAGAGTCACTGGTATGATGGAGAGTCACTGGTACGATATTTAGAAAAGATAAACCTCACTGCTTTACGTTGGATTATTTCTAGCGCATTTATGTTAGTTTTAGTATAAGGATCCCGCACGATAGTTGCGTATTCTAGCTTAGGACGGCACAACAGATGCAGGGCTGACCAATACTTCAGCATTAATCATGGCTACCTCAAACAATCTCACCATTTGGCAACGGAATTGCCTTTGCTTCCCAAAACGGAAGGACGCCTTACAACAATTACTGCGCTCAAACGCTGAGAACCCTTCTGTCCTCCTCTTTCAGGAGACGCTCACAGAGCGTCCCGCATTGCGAGGATACCGCGTAGAGTCAATCTTTCAGAAGGGTAAACGAGGGATTGCCACTTGTATTGAAAATTCTTTTTCGTACACTAAGCATGAAGTTCGTCCTGACCTCAAGGTCGAACACATCTTGATAGAACTCATTCCGAACGCGCGCCTCAAACAGTCGTTTTTTTTTTTCTTAACGTATACAGCTCACCTGCCGACAGCAGACAAACCTTCATACCTCTCTTTCAGAAGGCATGCAAGATAGCAGGCGACAACCCGCCATTGATTGCAGGCGATTTTAACGCTGCGCACCCCGATTGGGGTTAGGAATGCCTCCACTCCCTCCACTCGA